AATCTTTTCTTGATTTTACTCACCAATTCGGTGCTTGCTTGCATTCTAGGATTTAAATTTATCTACGTAAAAAGAAGGAGTGGGGAAAGGAAGTGAAAGAAACAAACTTTTGAACTTTAACGATACGGAAGCCGTTAATGTGCAGATTACCTAGATACTCTGCAAATTACCTAGGTAATTTGAGAAATTGAACAATTTTCGCAGCTTTAACGGATCACCCTAGTTAATCTGCAGATTAGCTAGGTAATGCACACATTAACGGATTTCGAGCTTTAGCGGTAACATATATATCAAGAATTGTTTTATGATTTATTATCAGTAAGTGATTTTATTTGTATACCTATTTTATTTATGTATCTGCTGAAGGTTGTGATAAATTTTCGTGGATGAAAAGAGGTCATAAATAAAACTTTAACAAATCACAATATACAATAAAATCTTGCTAATTTAAACTACATTAGCTTGAAGCTGTCAATTGGTCCTGGGCACAATATCTGGACAGTATATACTATTTTCCATATAGTATTGTCTTGTTAAGTCACAATTGTCAGTATTTTTAACTCAAACATTTTCCTGTATACCTTCCACCAAAGGTCTGTGATCTTCATTTTTTTTATATCCCATGTGAATACAGATGATTAAGGTAAACAAGCACTATGATCTATGTTGACATCTTTTTACTAATACAGTATGTTATTGGCATTCCAATGGGGACAGAAGGGGGCACCATACAATATTCAAACAAGATTGGTCAAGCCAATCTGATAACATGCTCCACAAAAGTGAATCAAATATTAATTTTGTTTAAAATAAATTTTATAAATTCTTGGAATCAAGTAGTTGTTCAGAAGAATTTTTCACTGATTGTACAGTAAGGGATGTGGTTTATAGATGTAAGTTTAAATATATAAATAAATAAATAGGTAAAAGTTTAAATATTACATTCTAAACTAATGGTTTAGAACAGAGGTCACCAAACTACAGCCTGGGGGCCCACAAAGGTCAGTTCATCTGGCCCGCTGCCAGATGAGCCACAACGAGCAAAAATATAATTATTTATATGGAAATATCATAGATTGTAGATAAACTTACTATGTAGAAAAAATTAAAATGAGTTTAACTAAAAATGCCAAAATTGTTCCAATCTGATTTTTGTATTTGACAGTAATATGATGTTTAGGAAAATCAGTGAAATAAAAAATTTGGCAACATTTTGCAACTTTGGCTATCAGAGCACTGTTTGTGTAAGTACCTGCAATGAAGTTTCAAAGGAAAGCAATTATGAGTTTGCTGCAGCAATCATGTTTGTGTATTGGTAAATAAACATGTATGTTTTCTTTATTTTTTTTTGTATTCACTATACTATATGGAAAAAATGATTGTGGCTCGCGCTTGTAATTCTCTGTTATCCGGCCCACTGTGAAAAAAGTTTGGTGAGTGACCCTTGGTTTAGAACATAATATTTAAATGCTAAAGAATTCTATTCAAAGTGTTCAATCCTGACAATGGCTACACAGATAGTTGAAAGTGTTAGATAAAATTTAAAATAGTTGCTGAAATAGGTTTTTTTTTTTTTTGTCTTTAATTTACAATAATCCAGTTAAAGCTCAATATATGAAATAAAAGAATTGAATGTGAAGAAATGTTATTTATACAAATTTATTATTTATACAAAGATTTCAATTGACTTATTTCAATTCTAAGAAGAAATACAAATCTGAAGAGAGTTTTTATGGGTGAAGTCATTGCACATTTGCAATAAATGGATTGAATGGAACCTAACACTTAGGTAATGAAAGTGAAGTCATTGTGCATGCGCATGGAAATCTGACAGACAAACAATAAAAGTCCTAACATAAGCACTTTGCCACTATAGTGGAGTGTGCTAAAAAGTGTCATAAACTGTATACAATTTTGCAATTATTCTGTGTATAGATTCTTGAGAAATGGCTTGATAATAAAGTTTATAGCCACAGAAAAATTTGAGAAAATTCTGTATTAAACTCATTAACTCAAAGCTCTAACTTGGTCAGGATTTTTTTATCCATTAAACTTTGATTTAACAATGTTTTACTGTATATCAGACTTGGTCATTTAATATTAAATGGCAAGATGATTATTTTGTGTATTATGAAGTTTCCTTGACAAGAAAAAATTGTTCAATCTCAGTGTCCAAATGATAATGTTTAATATTATCAATTCACAATTATATACTTTTTAATCAGTAATTTGAAAAGGTGGTATGGATTTTCCTAAAAAACTTGGCATCATCATTGTAAATTAATTAATTAAATAAATCACTGCTAATTTCAGGAAGCCAACTTTTTATTAATTAATTAAGAAATATTTTTGGTCAAAAGCTGACCTTCTGCTACAATCTTATATTTAATGGTTTAGAATAATATGGCATGGAGTATGGATTATTGTTGCCATTTAGAAACATTATTGTGGTAAGTTATAAATTTAGATTTATTGATGTATTTTTTCAAATTAATTGTAATAATTTATAATGGTTTTTAATTTAATATGAGAAAGTGTATTTGTTTTTCTTTCTTAATATTAAAGAAAATTGTTACTTTGATAAAAATGATACATTTTAAAATATGAAATGTTATGAACTCAAATATAAAAAATTTAACTATAGCTGAATGTAATTATTACTGGATCTGTAAACACAATGGAATTTACTTACATTTAACTATTTTTTTCAAATTTAGATAATGTTAAATGAAAGCATTACAATAAATTCTTAAAGCAGAATAGAATCTAATAGTATTTTAATTCATTTTAACTTATTTTTGGAACCTTTGTTAATTGGAAAAAATATTGGAGGAGAAATATTCAAAAATATCTAAGAAAAATTATAATGTAATTTTGACTAGAGCGGAAAATATAAATTTGCATTATTATATGATGATAAATGTGACTGCTCATACAGGGTGATCATAAAGTTGCTCCACAGTGGGCAATGTGGCTCAGCCAAGTGGTGATGTCATAACTTGGCATAGAAGACATTATTCAACAATCTGCTACTTTAACATCATATCTCTGATTGATGATGCATAGTTTCTCATCATGCTTGCCATTGAGCAAAGAGTTTTTCTCTTGGAGGTTGTGATTAGGACCAGTGACATGTATACCGAAGATGTTAAAGAAATGTTTGCCAGAAGATTTCCATTGTCTACAGTTTGCCCATTGCAATACAGTGTGAGGTCTCATCTGTAAGTTTTGATAAACTAGCTCTGTGCAGTGAAGCAAGAAGCAGTCGTCCCAGTGTTTTAATGGGTGACAAGCTGTCTAGATTTAATGACAAGATGTTGGCAAACTCAACAAAAGTAAAGTTCTATCCTTACAAAGTGTGTGCAGGAGTTAAAACCTGCAGATTCAGAAGGTATTAATTACAAGTGGTTCCAAGATTTTATACAATGGAAAGAAATTGAGGTGTTCAGCAGAACTTTCTTTATGAACAAGGCTTGGTTTTCATTTATTGGACACAATCAATTTTAGAACATTTGTTTATGTAGTGCATGAGATACAGTTGCAGAAACTAAGAATCAATGAGTGGATAGCAATATTAATAGAGAGAATTATTGGGCCCATTTTCTTCTAGGAAATAATTAATGCAGAATATTACTGATCAGATTCTTTGTTTATTGAACAACTTGACAAAAATGATGCACAGTCTAGTTGAACATAACCATTCTGTATAACTAATCATACTGCTAGGAGTTCAATGACACTACTGCATGACACTTTTAGGGAGAGGACAATTTCCAAAGGACTTTGGCCATCAAAATTTCCAGATATGAAACTGAGGATTTCTTCTGGGAAGCAGTAAAAGGAGCTGTGTACAAGAGCAAAGCCCAAATTTTGCATGCACTGAAACAAGTCATATATCTCTTTTCTACTTCTATAACTAAGGATATTTTAAGTGCAATTTCAAACATATGGAGAAGAGTCCAGTTGTGTCTTCAAAATGGAGGACAAAATTTCCAGCATCTCTTATAATAAAATCAAATATGTATTTACTGTGTATCTGAAGGAAAAACTGCATAAAAGTGATTATCCCAAAATTGGGTGTATCAAATGGGAGTTTATTAAAATTCACAGTGACTCTCTCAAATTAAAACCCATGGTGACTCTTTTGATGTGTGGCTGCCTTTCTGGAAGCTTATCCTGTTTTCCTATTGTTTGCAGAGTGACTTTACAATTGCCCTGTATAAATGTATTTAATTTGTAATACCAGCACATTTGAAATTAAGAAATTTTTACTAATGATTATGTTTTTACTAATTTTTACTAATGTTATGTTTATAACAGACATCTTCAGGTATATAATGAAGAACAAAAGGGTTACATTAAAATTGAATGCATTTGTACAAATGATTTAAAAGTTCAATTTAAAATTGTTTTTGGAACAAAATACATCCACAGTTTAAGATCATTTTACATATACATTACAAAATGATTTAAAATTATTTTCCAAACAAATTACATATTTAAGATAATTTTTTGTAATAACTTATAAAAGGAGTTACAAACAATTATTTTCACACAAATAACTAATTTAATTAAAATTTTTATTTATGTAAAATTGTATCTGCATGGTCTAGTGAGATGTATATGAGAGAACTTTATGAAGGTTCAAAGAAAGTGCTTCACACAGTGGATAGTGTGTCCATTTCTTTGAAATTAATTCCTACTCCATTCTTAAGTGCCCTATATATTTCAATTGACTCCAAGTATTTAAGGTGTACCCTATTGGAAATCCTGTGTAGCAATCTTACATCCTGTAGATCAACATGTACATCCACACATCCAACATAAGTGGTTAAGGCTGTGGTTGAAATCTTCTTTCTTATGGTGTGTTCATCCTCCTTCATTCTCATAGCTTGCAGTCACACCAATATATAATTTTCCAGTAATGTGTGGTTAATTCTGTTATCACACACAGGTACTGCATAAATACCAAGAGAGTAAGAGTCAGATATAGTGTTTTCATCATTTTATCATCATTCGAGTGAAAAAAATTGTTGGTGAACATTAGTTGTTCTGGTGATTTCTCTATAGATTTTAGATAGTGTCTTATTATATGTAATTATCTTCAGTTGTCTCTCCTGTGGTCTGATTCTGTTCTCAGTCTGTAGATATTGTTTTATAGTGTTTTAACCAGAGGGAATGGGTATTCATGTTGTATTGCCAACAATGTAATCCACTATAATTCTTTTTCTTTTCACTCTCCTCCAAACACTGTATGTGGTCCCTCTTTATAAGAGATCGAAAAGTAGAAATTTGTAAATGTAGAACAAAATGTGGTCATTTTGTAATGTGTTTATAACAGACATTATCAGGTATATAACGGATGAAAACATTAGTAAAAATTTCTTAATTTGAAGCGTGCTGGTATTGATATTTGTGTATGTGTATTCTATCCCACTATTGGAGAGTTATTTAATTTGTAAATTGAAATTTTGCAAGAATTTTGAATTTGCAGAAGTATTATTGATTGATTTGATAAAACATTGTTAATTGTTACCTTAAAAGTAATAATGATTATGATAGTTTAATATCTGAAGTATCTTGGATAGCCAAAAGTTATTTTAAAACTTTTCAAGTAACAAACTCTAATGATGAGAAATTTTAGAACATATTTTCAAAAACTTATTATATAACAAATTTAAATTTGTGTAAACTCTAATTTTGCTTTAAAAAACCTATTTTAAATAGTTTTTTTAAAGCAGTTCATTTTAAGATGAATTGTTTTAATAAATTAGCTAAATTTATGTTTAAATTGTCTTATCAACTATTTTAAAACACCATAATACATTCTAAAACTATATTATTCATATTTGCTTTGAATATTTTGTGAAAAAGCTAAATTATAATCTTAAACAAAAATTCATATTTATTGTCCATTAATTTACAAATATATTATTATTTATAATATTATCACACCTAAATATTGACTAACATCTGTTTTTTTTATTATTTGTATAAATAAATTTTCTTTGTTAAAGTCCTACTACGAGGCAGACAAGGTTTCTTGAACGACCTCCCATGTGGCATGGAAACTATCCTCAAGATCATCGACCATTCCAACCTCCTTCAATTAATATTCAACACAATGGTGTTTCACATGGATCCTATCCACATCACACTGGTCTTTTACCACATCCTAATCAACCACAACAACAGCCAACACCTCAAGTACAACACCCTCAACCTGCCTTTGCTTTTGATATGGGACAGGTAAAAACTATAATTCAGTAAAATAAAATAATAATAGTAATCATTTTCTGCAATTATTATTAATATTTAATATAATAATATATTTTAAGATTTCTATTAGAGTTGAATTTATGTAAACTGATATTTACAAAACATATAATTTATAAAATACAGTAGTCTCTGTAATTTGACATATATCAGACTGCTGGGTATTGGAATTACTGGATTTTTGAATAATTAAAAAAAAATATAGAACTACAGTGCATATGAGAACAAATCACTGTTTATTAATACAACTTAGTAAAACTAATCACATAGTATAGAGTACTGTACAAAGTATTAAAAAAGAAAAATCTATATGTAAACTAAAAAGTTTAACTTTAAAACTAAAAAAACAGTACAGAATTTTGTGTGTTGCTCTGCAGAGTGTCATTTTATTGGACATGTTGGACTTGCTAGTGAGGGACTATAGAGACTCTACTGTATTTGATTTTCTTTCTTTGTCACAAATGTGTTTTTATTAGGAATTCATGCACAGTATATCATTATACATTTTTAGATCCCGTGAAACACTTTTTTGGCAGATTATTAGAAAATTAATGTTTAATTTTTCAAACAATAAACTAATATGTTGAGCTAATTAGACTTATTAAATGAATTTATTCTGTTCAAATAGAACATTGCATTTTAGTAAGTTTCAGAAATTTAAAATTTTGGAGAAGTGCTGGCAATCATTATTCTGAAAAGAAATAGTAATCTTTCAGCTGATTTAGAATTAGAATAAAAATAAAGAAAATGTAGTAGGATCTGTGATATTTATGAAGAATGAACATGAAGGTAAGAGTTATGAATTTGTTAGAGTAATAAAGAAAATGAAATTGTTGGTTTTATCTATGGGGTAAAAAATTTGAAAATTATTTGAAAAGATAGAAAGCATAGAATATAATCAGACAAAAAAGATATAAACATTTGCAGATTTCTTTTTAATACAAAAAATTATTTAAGAATAGGTTTTCCTAACAGCTATTCATTTTGCAGAAAAGTGAATAATGACAATTAAGATTGAACAGAAATGTAATTATATTTTGAGAAGGCACTATGTTCTGACATAACAAACTTCCTTGTGGAAGATTTTACTTCCACAAGGAAGGAACACTTATATTTGTCATCAAAAAGCTGTCAGAATCTTTTCTTAATCTTCTAAAAATGGTTAAATTGTAGAATTTTATAAAAAATATAATTTCTAAAAATAAAAGATTATCTTTTAGATAAGATAAATGAGTAAAATAAACACTCTTTCTTAAACCGATTTTGAGTAATTTATATTAGCAGACAAATAATTAACAAAGATACTATACTTCAGCCAATGCTATTTCTTTTATTATTTTCAAACTTCTCAAAAAACTCTCCAAATGCATTTCACCGTTACAGCCTCATCAGTGGATTCTTAGAAATTTCACCGATCCCATTGTTTTATATATTTTTATTGATCAATGATTATAGTAGAATTTTATCTTAAGATAAAAAATCTGCAATTCTGACATAGTAATCTTAGAAACTGTGCATAATTGAAAGTACAATATTTAAATTTGTTTCTAATAATTTGTGAAAAGTTATCATGTAATAAAAATTTGGAATTTAATTAGGATTTGCAGTTTTCTATATGAGACTAAGAGAGACTAATTATAATTCATATTTGGTACTAAAAAGTATCATTGTTTATTAAAAATATTATTATATACTTATCCAATGTCTTGATTTTGTTTGGAGTAAATTAGAATTTGGCAGATGGTAAATTTATTTTTAGCATCTTTTTATCTTTTTAGGCATTTGCTGTGTATAAGATAATATATAAATAGGAGTATCTACCATAAACAACACTGGGGTGAAGTCATCTATGTACCAAAGCCTGTTACCAGTGTGGAACTCAAATAAAAAACAAAAAGAAAGTACTGTACTTCACAAACGTTTTTAAACCAGAAACAGTTGTTCTTTAAGTGAAATGGTGAATTTCCAATTGAATGCAACTAATTAAGAACACGACAATATGAAAGTTTATTCAAATATATGTTTCTTGAAGTTGTCCTACTGGACATGTGCACTCTAGCTGGTAGCATCTGTCAAGATTTACAGGATGTTGTCCATTAGCGCTTGCCACGCTATGGACAGAGGCAATTCCTTCTTGTGACTGATATGAATGAACTTTCAAATTGTTGTGTTNTTTTTTTTTTTTTTTTTTTTTTTTTTTTTTTTTTTTTTTTTTTTTTTTTTTTTTTTTTTTTTTTTTTTTTGAGTTTTACACTGGTAACAGGCTTTGGTACGTATATAAATAGGAAATAATGCAAACAGACGTTTAAGTATAAATGTTAATTGTGGAGTTGTTAGTGTCAAAGGAATTAATATAATAAAGTTAACTTTAAATAGTTATTGTTTTGGATTTGGTATTAATTTTAAAATGAAATGAGAAGTCCTATAAAATGTGTTTTTCTGAAATCTGATATTTAAATTTTTAAATAACTTAAATATCAGATTTCAGAAAAACACTTTGATTGATTAATATACTATAAATACTACAGTGGCTTTGTGAGACCAGATTGACTTTCTGAGAGTTTTCTTGTGAAATACTTGAAACTTAACTTCAACCTATATACCTTTTTATAGGCTATCAATATCACACAGATCTTATTTCTAATGCATTTCACAAAATATTTGTGATTTTGAATATTCATTCCATGTTGATTTTTATAATTTTAAAAGCACTTGTAAAAGATTATTATATAATTCTTAAATCTTGCCTTTCATCTAATGTTTTATTTATTGTACTTTTACCTTTTATGTAAATTTAAAATTATTTTACCTTTTTTTATTTTAATATTTGTTTGGGGTTTTTTATTGTTAATGTGGAAAGAAATCCATTATCATGGACATTTCCTACTGTAAATAAGATAAATAAATGTGAATCTGGCTCCTATATGTAATACCCAAGAAAATACAGTATATTATTTCATGTTGAAATAGTAATGTTTATTTTCAAGCATTAATAAATTTTATTTCTTTTATCAGGTTTCTTGTTCTGTGGCTCCTTCTCTCTCCCCACAACCTCTCTCTATATTTAATACTCCAAATAATGGCAATAGTCGAACAGCTATATATTCTCAATATTATACATATGGAGAACCAACATCTCAAACTTGTGCAACTGCAAACATTGCTGCAACACATCATATAGCAACTCCTGGTTTTTCTTGTGGTTGTAACTATCCACAGTCTCAGCTCCTACCTTCACCACATCATCCTCCACAACAGCCATCACCTCCATTCATTCATCCTTCTAGTCCCCATGTACAATCCCGTTTTCAGACTCAGGTAGCACCTGTGCCATCACCCATGGGACAGAGGATGCAATATTTAACACCACCTCATATACTGCAAGTAAGTAAATTTTTTATTTATGAAATTAGCAAATTATTTGGAAAAAGTCAAATACATATCAGTAAAATTTTGGTGTATAAACAATATATTGTTGTACATGAAAATTAAGACTCAGGGAAATGTTTGATCCAAGATAAGAATTAATTTTGTTTTTGGGTGTATTTTAATTATTTGATAGTTTCTAATAAAATATCTAAATGTGTTTTCTACATTTAAATTTAAAAAATTTTGAATATCTTTACTTTAACATACAATATGATTGATTATAATTACATACAAAATACAATATCAGCCACTGTGTGTCTTTTTGCACAATGCCCCCTGCTGATTTTTGATGATATCGCATAATTGTGACTCAGTGTTGCCAGTGTCTTATTGAATTTTGTCTTTGAGCTCATTGGTGGTTTGTGGATTGTATGCATAAATATTATCTTTCAAATAGCCCCAAAGAATAATCCAGCAGTATCAAATTGATCTTGTAAGATCTTGGCAGTCACTGCCACTGAACTTTGATAGAATCTTTGTTTCATTGGCAGTATGGCATGTTGCTGTACTTTGTTTGAACCACATCTTATCTAAATTCCATATCAATTTTGGCCACAATGATAAATGACCAAAGAGTCATTTATCATTGTGTGATAGTATTCATTATTTGCTGTAAATGCTTGGCCATTGTCTTTTCAAAAATGTAAGGCTAATCACATCTGTAGTCCATAAACTGCACCAAACAGTAACATATTGTGGATGCATTGACTGTTTTTGACACTCTTTGATTTTTCACTGTTTCTGATTCAACAATTTTGCTTGTTAGAGTAGCCTTTAAGATGGAAACAGGCTTTATCAATGAAAATAGTTTAAAAAAATTGCTAACTGCTTTGTTTTTAAGTACCCAATCAACATATGCTGCTGCCTAGGTTCTGTTGGCTTCAGTTCCTCTAGTGACTAAACCTTGTAATCATGAAGAGCTAATTCTTTCATTAACTGTCATTCTATCAAAGTATTTTTTTTTTTTGTACCAAGAACTTTGAATGGACATTTTATGATCACCATTAAAAAATAACTGTATTTGACAAGAGATACAAATTAATGCCAGATTGAATGATAAATATTTTTGCAGCCAAGAAAATGTGTTCTTTCCATTCATAATCAATATACACCCTTTGTCAGAAAAGTTCCAGGAAAAAGCTTGTAAAAAAATAGAAAATTGCAATTACCAAGTAATGATCTTAGCTCCTGTCAAAGTATTTGTAGTTCCCTCAGCTATCTATACGCAATTGCCAATGTTTCTGGCAGTCTTGGAAGCAAGCAGAGAAAGCTTCAAACAGCTTGGAAGCAAAGAGAAAGCTTGTGATGCTTCTTAGATTATTTGTCACAATCTGTTGAATGTCTATATTTTGATGAAAAATCCCATCCCTTTCAGTTGCTTTTTCACTTGCAGAAACAAGAAAAAAATCACACTTTTCTGATAAAGGGTTGTAACTTAAAGGGACATTTCATCAAATACCACAGACATCCAACGGATTGTGACAAATGATCTAAGAAGCATCACACTTGAAGCTTTCTCTGCTAGCTTCCAAGACATCCAGAAACATTGGCAATTGTGTATAGATAGCTGAGGGAACTACTTTGACAGGAGCTAGGATCATTACTTGGTAATTGCAATTTTCTATTTTTCTTGAGCTTTGTCCTGGAACTTTTCTGACAAATGGTGTACAAACAATATTATTACTGTATTGCATTAAATATCAATACACTAAATGAGCAAACCAACAACATTAATAAATGCAGTTAAATGTTCACTTGTATATACTCTCAATAAGAAACAATCTAGTTGTAACACACAGAGTTGAAAAGGGACATAATTGTCCGAAATGCATTCTCAAAGGAATAAAAAGTTTTTTGAAAGTTTGTCCTCCTTTTACTGATAGTATAATAAGTCTAGCAAAAAAGAGAAGCCACCTTAGTGCTCATATAATTGAACACAAGACTAGACAAGAAGCGTATCACACAAAGAAACTATCTGAAACATCCCAAAAAGACAGAAAACAGTTCCTTATCAATACTGCTGGATTGGAGTGATAAGTTGAAACATTATTTGAGTCTTTTCTACCAAGTAGGTCCACCATGGAAGAAATTTTTGAGACCACCATAACATTCAAATTACACCACCATAAAGGATATGCTTAATATCAACATATTTAACAATAATTATATTTTTCAAAATATTAATTAAATTAAATGAAATAATTAGTAGAATAAACAAACAAAATAAGATATGATTGGCGCAAAGTATCTTCCTTTGGTAATGTAAGGTTAAAATTTACCATGTGTGGTCCAGGCAATGCTTAATTGATGCAGACAGTGTGGGATTGACTTTCTTTAGATATTCAGCCACACTTTCATGAACCATGGCAATATTTTCAGCTGAACAACCTGAATAGGTATACACAGGTCTGAAAGTATTGCATAGACCAGTTTTTTCAAATTTATGCACTATACTATGAATTGTTTTTTCTTTTGGAGTCATACAGATCAAAATAATTATGAATTTGGTAAAATGTATTTGTTACAAAACATGAATTTCCGTAAGTTTTATCGATACAAAACGTTGGTTTAATGTACACCACTTCATGACTAAACTTATAATAGCAGATGTCAAACACAGCCATCAGAAAGTGTTGCTATATGGCAAATATAACCTAAAAACATTCAGAATTATTAGAAATCCCTGTAGTATAACTAACAATTATGTTGAAATCATCAATTTGAAAAATGTTAACTGTTGGGTGTGACTTCAGTTTTTTGATTTTTGAGAAATTAGTTCTATCAATTTCAGCTGGAATTTATAAATATTCTAAATTATTAAAACTTTGTTATAATTTAGAAATGATAAAATGTTCTGGAATTATTTGTATCTGTTTTTGAGACCAATCTGTAACTTTAGAAATTTGACTTTATCCTGTTTTATTGGAGAGCCTCATATTGTAAATAATTCATTACTTATTTTATTATTTTAAATCTTAAATCTATAAAATTATTTCATTTGATAATAAGGCCCAAGATGCAGGATTGGAAGCTGCTGCTGAACGTAGACCACCACCATTTATTAGTTTGTCACCAACTGGTCATCATGGTCATGGTAGTCCACCAATTACTTCATCATCTCCTTTGCCTCATCAAGTCTTACAAGATTATACAAGTGTTAGAGGACAGCCTGAATTTTCATGTATAGTAAGTAATATTAGAAAGTTTGACTAAATATTAAAAAAAATTTAACTTTTTTATTTGCATCATAAAAACTTGATTGTGTTTTACATAAAAAAATAATTGTTTTATTCATAATAAGTTAAGTTTAATATTATTATAATTTGTTTTGAATTTAATAAAATCCAATTTGCCAAGTTTAATTAACACTAATATATTGAATGGTATAATAAATATAGAAAAAATTACTTAGTTTTGAACAAAATTTTTAATTATATCAAACAACAAAACAAAATCAATATCTTCTATCTGACAGTACTACTAAACTTCTAACTTAAATATTCCTTACAAATGAAACTTTTCTCTCAAACCAATCATCTAATCATCACACTTGGTCTAGACTGAAAATTATGCTTTGGTTCTGTTTTTGCAGTCTTTAAGCACTGAATGTGACATCACATTTATAACATCATTGTGTACTCATCTGCATACTTATTTGCTAACAATTGTTTTACTGACAATTTTTTATATAATATTAACAAAATTTTAATAATATAGATTAAATTGTCCTATAATATAATGATTCAAAGATCATTTTACATTAATTTACTAAATTGTAAATCCCATTTTTGACCGGGACCTGCTGATGTAAGCAACAACAGGCAGCTCCTGTTGTCTGGTGTTTGAAAAATCTCAATTTTTAAAAATGTTGTAATGTTTTATATTATATTTCAAAGTTATAAACAAGCTGAAGATAGATATATAATATCTTGATATTCAGTTTGTTTGCAGATTTGAATATATAGGCATATCTATATTTATATATTTATCATTGCTTGTAAGCTGACAAATTAGATTATTAAACTTTTTGATATCATTATATTTCAAAATAGCAATATTAGTTAATATTATATTTAAGATAATTATCAATTAAAACTAAAATCAGATTGACATATTATTTTCTGTTCTAAAATGTTAAAAAATTTTTAATTTAATATACTGATTATGATTTTGAATTTAAGAAAATATATTTAAAAGTTAACTGAGTTTTATTGAAAAAAGAGTTCATTTTAAACTTTAGCAATGTTCTTTCAATCATTGTCTAATTTTTTCAGAATAATAATACTTCATATGTAAGAAGAATAAGTCATGCTAGAAGGAGTAGTACTCGTAGATGGCGCCCGCCACCTGTACTTCCTCCGGCTCCTCCACCCTATTCAGGCTTCCTACTTCATTTTCTGTAAGTGATTTTATGTTTTAAATGTTTATTTAATAAGAATTCTTGAGCTATTTTAGTTGAGGAAAAATCTTCATTATATCTAATGTTATATTTAAAAATACACATGTTAACAGGGATATAGTTACATAGGATGGCAAGGAGTGGCATCTTTCTCACATTAATGCTCTTCCTTCTCTTTCTTTCTGTTGGCCATCACTACCACCCCATGAGTTTACAGTTTAAAAGTAAATAGCATAAAAAAAGAATGTCACAAGCGGTTGGCTACTGATGAAACAAAAAAACACTTAAATATTAGGCTTGAGGAACAGCCATGAGATAAAGGAAAAAAATCCAATACTTATTCTTCTTAATCCTTTTCTGTTTTTATTGAGTGACAATGCTCAATAAAAACAGAAAAGGATTATCACTGGGTAGCATAAGACATGCAAGGAGAGTAACATTACTGATATTACAACTCTGCACAATGTTTGCTAGTGATTGTGAGCTATTGCATTTTTACAGTAGCCTACTTCCCTATGCTAGATCTACTCAAGCCATTAGCTTTATGGGGTGACCCATACTTAGAAATTTTTTACTATATCCCTGTGTTAGTGACTAAACATTTAATAATAGTAATTCTTTGGGAATTTGTAGCTTTAAAATTTAGGCTAACTTGTCAGAAAAATCAATAAAATTATATACCATAATGTAATAAATGAATAAAAAATTATTAAATTATTTTTAAGGTCACCAATGAACAATATTAATTAAATAATTGAAATGTTTTGGCTTACAAGTTAGATGTAGGCCATTTTCAGCAAATAAAAATAGGTAACAGGAAAAAAGTTATTAAAAATTTACATGTTTAAATTATATGATTTGTATATTGGAATATTGCAGATAACAAATTCTTATAATTTGTCTGTAACATTCCAATATTCAAATCATGTAATTTAAACATGTAAATTTTTAACTTTTTTCCTGTTATCTTGATATTTGCTGAAGATGGCCTACATCTAGGCCAAAACATTATCAATCAAACAATAGCTTAATTTTGAGATTTCAATTATTTAATAAAAACTTAGACCTGTTAACTCACCTCTTGTTTTCAAATGGTTACCTCTTATAGATATGTTGATATTTAAATATATTTTGAAATGAAAGAACTTTTATGAATTTTAAGTTGTACAGTAGCGCGTCATTTATCCAAATCAATTGGGGACTGAGGTTGTTCAGATAACCGATTATGTATGAAAAAATATATTAACCTGTCCCGTGTTGAAATTTTTCTCCATTGCATGTCACTTTGCATTGAATTTTTGTCGATGTTAAGCCTAATGTAAATTTTTTAAAATAATAATCATGGCTATTGTATCATTAAAAATTATTTATTTGTTTTGTACAAACAAAATAAATATATTGAAAAATATAAAAACAAAAAAATTATACTTTAGTTTAGAAGTTAATCTAGTATCAAAAACGTTTGATTCAGCATGACACACTCCGAATGAAACACTTTTGGTTAATCGATGTTTCGGTTGATCGGCTTTCAGATAAACGACGCTCTACTGTATTTATGCTGATCTATTTATTTAACAATTTTCTTTTTTCTAATTTTTATTAATTTATAAAAGTGACTAATCAAATCTTAACAAAAATTACAGAAATAATGTCTTATTTTGAATTAAATAGTATCTCAAATATAATTTAGAAATTATCTAATTCTGTTAGATAAGAATTGCAATTCAAAAGTTATATAAGAACCAATTGAATGTATTTTAATAAAATGAACCATTTGAATCTTATTTGGCCAGATCACTACCAATGAACTTTTCATTGTGCTTCAACATTTTTGTCCACTGCAAATTCCATTAATGCATATTAATTAAGTCTACCTTTAATAATATGATTCGTTTTTTTACTCTCTAACCTAAATTTTTTTGTATGCTACCTCAAAGTATTTTTGTCTACACCAGTGTTTCCAAAGGGACAGTAATTATCTCTCAGAGCAGTGGGATATCTAAGTGGGCAATTAGAAGCAAATGAATGACAGAGGAATAAGAATATTATGGTTTTCTTTCTGATATAGTTGATGTTATAAGCTAGGATAATGAACTATAATCCTTAAAAGACTGAAATTAGTTTAGTTGCAATCAGGACTTACTGTGTGCAATTTTTTTCTACTTTCATTTATTCAAATATATTTAAATGAAAAAATTCTCAATAAATGACTGAATATTTAGATAAATATCTAATGACTTGACACATTATTTTGCATCAATATTTTGTAATTTTTTTTAAGTGCAATGCTGTCCAATCCTACCATCCCAGCTCATACTCAAGATATTCCCAGTCCTGAATCACCAGAAGCAGAGAATTATGAAGCTCTGCTTACATTAGCAGAGCGGCTTGGTGAAGCCAAACCAAGGGGTCTTCCTAAATCAGGTAACTTTATCTTGATTTTAAAATTAGATAACTGAAACTTACAAATTGATAAGTAAAATTAACTCTAAAATAATTATAAATGTATGATTTTTTTACAAGTTAATTTTGAAAAATGATGTTACAAATTTCATTCTTTTATTTATTTTTAATACATTTTTAAAAACTATTCTTTTTTTAATACTGAAACTGTTAATTTTTACTTGTATTGTGTGGATAATAAATTAAGAAAATATTTGAATTAGGATTTATTAAAAAGGTTTATAAAGCAAAAAATTATATGCATGGAAAAATACATATAAGTAATATAGCAATATGCATTCAATGATTTTTGTGAAATACTATGTTTTGCAAATTTATTGACTGCATTGTTAAAAAAAAAAAACATGTAAAGTTTATCTTTCTGTAATACTGATTTTTTTTTTTCTTCTGTTAATTATATGTAATAATTTGTGGTGTGTATTACAAATATTTATCTAAACTGTAGCAGATTTAAATATTGGGTTATATTAAAAAGTTTTTGCAATATTTCTTGTACTATATTTAAAATGTACTCATATAAGAAAAACTAAAATAATGAATACCATTGATAATATTAAAACTTCTGTCTTTACATAATTAATAACAAAATAGTTTTAATTTAAAACTATTATGTGCTTTATTAAATAAAATGAATATGTACAGTTACAGAAAATTCTTATTGTTCATTACTGTATTAATTTATAATTAATGAAGCAAAGTAAAATTAGATAAAATGTTGAAAGTTAGTAATCATTATTAACTTTAAATTTATTCTTTTAAGTTATTGATAAATATAAAATTAACATAAATATATGAAAAGATACATCAAATATGTTTTCTATTGTCTTCATTTTCATTTGTTAATATCAATTTTAAGAAACACATTTTGAAAGTATAGTGACAGTGTACTATTTTGTTTAAATATCAATATAAAACTTCTTGAATATGAAAAAAATCTTAAATTTTGTATTATTTATTTTTACAGAAATAGAACAATTATTGTCATATCGATATAATCCAGAGAATCATGGTTCTGATCAAACATCTTGTGTAGTATGTATGTGTGATTTTGAAGCACGACAGGTTCTAAGGGTATTACCTTGTGGACATGAGTTTCATGCACGCTGTGTAGATAAATGGCTAAAGGTATGCGATTTCATATTATATAAAATTATTTATTTTTATACATTTAATTGCATATAGACAAATCAAAATAATTACATTAGGAAATGCACACAATTTTGGGTTACTTTGAACATGGATTTTACAAGTTTTTTTACACGGTGATCCTGCAACAAACAGCAAGTTCTGAAAAGCACTATCAATATGTGTAATGCACTGTGTATCTTCAGAAAATTTTTGTACACTAGGCAAGGAAATTTGTAGATCTGTGACTTTGTGGGAATCATAAAATGCACTTTTGTTTTACATAATAAAACAGATGAGCAAATTTGTCTAATGTAGTCTGCTACATTAGACAAATATCTTAATAAATACTTATTTCTTACTTATTTCAATGTAATGTAGTGGAATATAGTTAAATAAATATGGATTATTGAGTAAAAATAAGTAGTTTTCACTTAAGTTATATTAAGTGATTTCTAAAGTTTAAGTTGGTCCCTTGAAAACTTTTTAATGGCATTCTATTGTACATCAAAAGCTTGCAAACAAACATGAATTATTACATACTGGTACCAAGCAACCAAACTACAAATACACACCTCAGATGGTCAAAGAAATCAACAAAAAATATACTATGATAAAGCTACATTCAGACTAAACAGTCTGTCACAACAGACCACACATCACATTCATTGGCAAACAGAACAAAATCACATATGTCATAGACATAGCTGTGATGTGGTTAAGCCCCCTCAGATTAGTCAGCAATACCCATATGCGATATATATATATATATATATATATATACACATGTTTTTGCTTTCATTGAATAAATTTAGGTTACTGTTACAGTGGAACCTTGCTTAACGAACATAATTCATTCCAGAATCTTACTCATAATGTGACACACTCATTAAGCAAAACAGTTTTCCCGTATAAATTAATGTAAAATACGATAATGTGTTCCATGCTGGAAAAAATTTTATGTATAATGTTTATTGAAAGAAAATTATACAATATATATTGTTAAGGACCATGAATCATCATCATTTCTTCTAGCATGGAATGAATCAACCTGTGAATTCAATTTGCAGAAAACAAAAAAAAATCACAGATATGTCTGATAAACATGCCAAATGATATGCCTACCCCTAGTCAAATTAATTTCCAATATTTAATTATAGCATTTACATAGCCCAAGAATTTGGCATATTGTTTGGTATGTTTATTATATAATAGGCAAAGGTTGTTGTGTTCAGACATATTATGTATAAACATCAAGTTTGGAAAAATGTTTGATCATGAGTGACACTAAGATGATAGCAGAATGAGTGCTAAACAGACTTATGGAGCATGTGCACAACCCAGGACTTCCCCTCTCCTCATCATTCATTATGTGAAACATCACAATTTTTTCAGCTTCCCTCTGGCTCCCTAATGATTTATTCCTATCTACATGACTGCCTCATCATGCAAAATGCATAATTAAAAAATTAGAACTTGCTCACAAAATATATAGAGAATACATAAAGTACTGCCTGTAGTTTTTTTCTTGCATAGTAACATACCATAAGCACTGCACAAAAGACCAGAAATATTAGGCCTTATAATAGCATATACATCATATTACAGAAAGCAATCAACTAAACGTGTCAGTCAGGAAAGTCGTACACAAACAATATGTAAACACATGTTTATGTAAAATAACAGTTTTTTCTGTAGCTATGCCTGGATCTTGGTTTGGCATAGCATTTAGGCACCACTATAAACTAGTGATGGGATGATTAATTTGAATCAAGAAAATCTCATCACAATTTCAGATTCTTAAAAATTATTCTTCCACATTTATAAGAAAATTAATTTTTGTTTTGGTTGAAGATTAAAAATTTGTTAAATTATGATATTAACAATTAAATATTAACTCTGTAATTGAGGGAGTATTGGTAACATATATATTTTATTGTCTGTACATTTACTAAGAAAATTTTTTAAAAAATTTTTCAATTTCAGACAAATCGTACATGTCCAATATGTAGAGGAGATGCTTCTGATACAGGACATCAAGCTGATTAGATATGAAATTGAAATTTGGGGAAAAATCGACTACAACCAGTTATTGTGCCATTGGAAAATTGAGTACATTCTAGCTTCATATCAGTCTTCTAGAAATACTAATTATAGAATATACTTTTATGTATTTAGCTGTCAAAACATTCATATTGAAATTTATTCCATAGCTTTGTATGGAAATATGCAAAATCATTAGCAAAAAATGTGTGCCAGTAGATGTTGGGGAGCATTTGATAGCAGAAGGTTACCACAGTGCCTTCAGGGGTGGGATGGGATAGCCAAAAAAAAAAAAAATGCAATTGTCCCCTGATTGAGATTGCTGTGTGTGCAATAAATAGTTGAAGTGCATGAAATGATTATAGTTGCAGAATTTTGATGTCTCAATTTTGTTTTATCTTACACGTCTCTCTAATTAGTACAAATTATTTGTTTATTGAGGTTTAAAATCCGATGTGCCGTCTTGCATAAAATTTATTTTTACATTTATAATTTTGCTTAAAAGCATACAATTTGTTACATTGTTGTATAAAGAAGAATTGGTTTTTCTTCACACTTTATTTCTGCTCAAATATAATTTCAGTGCTGTTAAAAATACTTTGAAGTAAACAAGTCATTGACTATAATATTACATGTTGTTAAGAGCATTTTGTTAAGATGTAATAATTGATATGTTGTTGTACGAAGAATTTGTAAATGTAGAAAATTATTTAAATTTCTTTGAGTCATAAAATGAAATATTACTTTTGTCATTATACTAAATTTAAATTTAGTATACTTTTAAAATTTTATAATAGGCAAGCTATCTATGTTTGAAAATTTTATGATAAAACAAAATCTTTAAAATATTTATTTGGATTTGAAAATGTAGAATTATTTTATCCAATGAAAAACCGTGCAATTTCAAAGTTATTTTGCTTCAGTAGCTTTTTATTGATATAACACATGAAGGTAAATTTTGAATCCATTAATCGATAACAACAAATTAAAGATTTGTGTTCAATAACCTTCTTTACATAAATTTTTATTATAGTTAAATTATTTATTAACTGAAAAATTAGATATTAAAATTCATTAATAATTGAACTGTTGTATGAGGTTAATGATCTGGTAGCTAATGTTGATTGCTTGGTGCTAATGTTGGGGAAAACATTCTATTGCACATTACATCATTACATAAATTTGCACATATATCTAAAAATGAGACTTCAATTTTATGTACATAGTAAATTGTTTATAGTGATGATTTTCTGTTATCATATCATATATATATATATTTCAGCTTTATAAACTGTAAATGTCTCAATTATTGAAAATTAACTTAGAAAATCATTTTATGTACTTTATAGTTTAAGTAGTAATTATATATAATCATTAATAGTGGAAGAAATATAATTTAAAAACAACAAAGTTTAAGTAATTCAAAGTATGATTTAATTATAAAAAATTTTTTATCAACGTATTATACAGTTAATCCGGTAAGACATTTTCCTGTAATTTATTACAATAAAAATTGATGATGATCATTAAATTTTAATTTAAAATTCAGAATTAGTATAACAAAGAGAGACTGTTTTGTTGACTTTCTTATTCTGTACAAAAATTATCATCATAGATTTGGATGACAAATAAAATAATTTTCTTAATTCAATTATTGTAAAAACAATAAATTACCACTTTATTCTTTAAAAGTAAAAAAAATATATATATGTATATATTCTACATAGTTGTGATGAAAATGTAGGTGAATTTTTTGCATATCTATACTAAAAGTATATGAATATCTAAGCATATCATATAATGTTTTGTTCATTATTTAATATCAAATTCTGTGTCATAGATTGCTTGCCTTTTAGTTTTTTTCTTATATTTAAGTATATGAATAATATTTTAATTCGTTTAAATAAAATACTTAACGAAGAACTAATGATGCCTGTTAAATTTTGTTCGTAAATCTAAAATTTTTGAGTAATTCGTTAATTATTCAATGTTAACTTGTTTAAACTGACCTATTATGTATTACAAACAAACAAACGAATTTTTTGTGGCTTTAAAATATGTATGTAATAATAATGATAATGATGATAATGCAATTCTGGTATGCAATCAGTTTTCATAAATAATTTAAATGCCATTTATCCAAATTAATGCCTCCCCATATTTCTGTATGAAAGAATTTTCTGTGCCATATATTATTATTTATATCATTAAATATAATAATCTATAGGAAGCTTTTTTTATATATATATAAAAATTACAGATATATAATTAAAATCAGGGATTTTTTTTTAATTTGTAAAGATTTAAATTTTTACATAAGAAATTGTGTTAGTAAAAATGATATATGCATGGTGAATAAAAAAATGGAAAACATTAATTATTTTTATTGTGTGGATAAAAGAACTTGAGGATTATTCTGCTCAGACAAGTTAAATCTTAAAAGCTATTTTTAATTGCTAACAAAATTCTCTTAAATTTGATTTGTTTTTATTATTTCGAACAAACAAAAATACCCAGTAATGTAAATGTAATCTGTTTAATTGAGTTCCGAAAACATCTTGACCCATTAAGTATTTGAAAAATGGCAGGCAATATATTTCTTTATTCACCATTTTTTAAATATCAGATTCATTTAAAAGATATTTTTTCATTCATATTTATAAACTTACACTAATTTATAATTATAATTAAATATTAAACTGATGAAGTAGTTTATAAAAACTCAGTACTTAAAATATTTTCTTTATATATGTAAAAATATTTTAATTGATAAAGTTTTAAACAATTTAATTTAAACATGAAAGGTTCTGATTTATAATTTTCCCTTGGCAAAGAAAAATATTGTTAAAATTATATGCATGAATTTGATATATTGTCTGGAATGAATCATTGCAAAGAATTGATTGCCCAGAAATGATATATGCTATATAGATATATATTTTATGTAATCATTCCAATGTAAAAAAAAACTCGACAATTATAGTAGGTTAAAACCTATGTATAACTGTGCAAATAGTATTGTGTATTACATTTCTCAGTACCATAGAGTATCTTTCCAATTAAATATTGTTTATACTTGCATGTCTCCCAAAGTATATTTTATATATTGTCTTTTGAATTGTTGATTTATTATTAGATTTGAAGAAGTGACTAACCTTCGTGACGAGAACAAAAAGAGAAAAACGAACGAAAAATAAAATTTTAATTCAAAATACATTACAGATATGCAAACATTCTAACTTTGCTACAATCGAGCACCAAGAAAATGCAGAGTTTACTCTATTTGCATTGCTATTTTATATGTGAATTGGCTTTATTTTTACTTAAAAATCTGTCATTCTTCAAATCTGATTCACATAGAGTTCATAACTAATTTTATTTGTTATCTAATAATTACTTAGAAAAATAATAAGCAAAAATTTGAAAATTGTTTAATAAAAATATTAGCGTGTCTCTTAATATATTAGTCACTCTAATAAAATTACCCATTAACGGAAAGCCCAATCGAATAATAAATATTAATTTTGTTTTCCGATAAGAAAATATTTAAACGTCACCTTTCGAAAAATAAAACCACCTCTGAAGGTAGTGACCAATATTTGATGTTGTGTATTTGAGTGTGTGTATGCTGCTGTAGAATATTTGTATAGCAGTGTTTTACCGAGAAGTGCTGTGTCACAAAGCTATGCATAATCAATTAAGCTTTTAATGGCAACATTGAGCTTAGATGTTCAATCTTGTTGTGAAGTAATGTATTTAGTTTGTTATATAGAATTGAATTCAGTTTATAATCTGAGCCTTATACAACCTTTATATATTTTACACTCGAAAGATGCAATGACATTGGGCCAATATAGAATATTAAATTGTGCCTGTGAAATGTGTAAAAACTGTAATTAGGTCTTCCTATATTCATTTTTAGTAAGACGTCCCACCGACTTCATTGTTTTAATCGTGTCCTTTATCGTTTCGCTTGTTAAGAACTCCGATACGGCGACATCTTTTCTGTACGCGAGCACTCGGATAATCGGTCATTTCGACGACGTTGCAAATTCCATTGCTTCAGAAAGAATCCACATCATTTATGTTTACGGTTATTGAAGAGAAATGTAAGGTTATAAACAACTGTCACAAATTTGGACTGGTATCTATGGTCAATTTGAATGTAACAAGTATTGTATTTTGTTTCATTTTCATAATTGGAAAATTAAAAAGTTAAAACCTGAAATGTTATTTTCATTTTTTTTTTCAGATTTTACATATACTCTCTGCATATTTTATTGATTTTTTTTTAAGAAAATTTATATATATGTATATATTCTACATAGTTGTGATGAAAATGTAGGTGAATTTTTTGCATATCTATACTAAAAGTATATGAATATCTAAGCATATCATATAATGTTTTGTTCATTATTTAATATCAAATTCTGTGTCATAGATTGCTTGCCTTTTAGTTTTTTTCTTATATTTAAGTATATGAATAATATTTTAATTCGTTTAAATAAAATACTTAACGAAGAACTAATGATGCCTGTTAAATTTTGTTCGTAAATCTAAAATTTTTGAGTAATTCGTTAATTATTCAATGTTAACTTGTTTAAACTGACCTATTATGTATTACAAACAAACAAACGAATTTTTTGTGGCTTTAAAATATGTATGTAATAATAATGATAATGATGATAATGCAATTCTGGTATGCAATCAGTTTTCATAAATAATTTAAATGCCATTTATCCAAATTAATGCCTCCCCATATTTCTGTATGAAAGAATTTTCTGTGCCATATATTATTATTTATATCATTAAATATAATAATCTATAGGAAGCTTTTTTTATATATATANCCCAAACGGTTAGGAGTTGAAAGTTGAAATTTGGTACACAGATAGGGTACGTCACGAAAACGCACACTAAGAAGGGATTTTTCGAAATTCCTCCCCACGGGGGAGAGGGGTTAAAAATATTTTAAATATATAAAAATAGATATTCGAATAAATGTCATATTGAAACTTAATATATTCCTAATACAAAGTTGTTAACAATTTAGGAAAAGTATTGTTTTTACATAATACAATATTTGTCATTGTTCGTCATATTTATTGTTAATTTCGAAGTTCTCTACACATTAAAGGTAATACTTTAAAATTTTATTAATTTGTTCTATATTAGATTCTTAAAAATAAATAGCTCTCGGCCGTTCTTTTGTTTATGCTATTTTTACTTTCCCGGATGTTATAACACGGCAAAGTATTGTAATCGTGTCAGATTTGATCCTCCAGATTTTTTGCAAATCTTGGTGTTTTGAGACTTGAACCCAAAAGGGGGAGTTTGTGTGTGTGTGTGTTTCGTTCAATATCTCATGATGGAGTAAAGATTAAAAAAACGAAATTGAGCATGCTAACTTATATAGCCTACAAGGAATGCGCGGAAACTGCTCCATTGCTATACTTTTTGGACTGCAATTTGAAAAAATTGTAGACTTATAAATTCCTACTGTCGTCCTCTGTCTTTAATCTCGAAAACGGAATTAGATAGATGAAGTAAGAGTCCAGATGTGGAAACCTTTTGGGGCAGGAGGCTCCGATTAACTATGTAGGAACTTCTGATGCAAACCGGAAGTCACGTTATTTCAATTTCAATACTTTTCCCCCCGAAAGCAGTGTGTAGATGACCGGCACGACTTTATTGTTAACGGAAAAGTGTGATGTACAGGGGCAAACCATTACTAATTTGAGATGGAGAGCACATATTTTAAATGAAATAAATTAAAAATATGATTAAAGTTTGCAGCCCGGCATTGTGACGATGTCACAATAGATAATTGCTTGTTACAGTTCCTATCCCTCTGCTCCTCGTCGTCTTGCCTCACGCAGTGACATTGAAACCACCAAGCATTTCTGGCTCACCTGCCCCCAGTACGAGTGGGCATCGAGAAATTTGATTCACCCTTCACATCAACATCAGTCTGATTTGTATCCTTTTAGCCATCTTTTGGCCCTGCTCCAGGGAGGCACATTGTACCCTGGAAAACCTACATGAGCCAAAATGGTCGTATCTGATAATAGAGGTTTCTACTTTGGAGGGTAAAAGTCAATAGGCTGCCATTTCCATATGAACCAGGAAGGAAAACTTTTCTCTAGAAAGATCGGTAAAATACGGGTATAGATTAGTCAAAGGGTTTAGGTTCAAAGTTTGCTGGTTATTTTGTGTTCACAAGAGAGAGAGATCTGTGAATATTTTAAAACTGATTTAAAATGTTAGGACTCTTTGATATGAAAAGTCACTAAACTATAACACGAGTGCCTCTTCCCTTGAGGTTATGTGCCCGTACCATTTTAGCTACAGGCACATAACCTCAACTGTTACCTGTTGAGG